GTGTCATCGACATTTTTGTCCCAAGGCTGGCAGAGTCCGGTAACTTGTCGCTTCCGGTGTTCTGACTCGGAACAGCTATGTGATCCTGGAGGTGTGTGCTTCTCAGGTGCTGTGTGCTTCTCAACTCTTTATGCTCTATAACCCGCCAATCGTAGGCTGGAAAGAGAGTTATGCGACCCTTGTCCTTTTATCAAGCTTTGCCTCGCCTCCAGTTCGCGGATCCTCGCACTGCGGCTCTCAGCGGCGGGCTGTAGGTGGAAACTACGAAGGTTTGTGGCTTGTTTGACTAGATGTGTTTGGTTTCATGTCTTGAACATGTCAATGCATGTACTGGACAATATGATTCTGACTTGTTAATCTACTGTAGGCTTCCTCGTCAGCTGTGTGGCGCTGTCAGCCGTGCGCAAGACCGACATGGTGCGGAGACACATGTGCTCTGCTCTTGCCTCTAACTTCAGGTCAGGGACTGGGAGTACTTGCTTTGTTGCAGTAGTGGTACGAGAAGAAGAGAAAGAGGATGATTTTCAAAACATGCCAGATGACAAAGTAAGGAATATCATTCAAACAGACGGCTCAGTGGCAACATCATGCTTTACCACTACTCAGACTACTCGCGACCGCATGAGAAGATGATATGAGCTACTAGCAACTAGTAAGTAGTACCAATACAGATCAAGCCTCTGACAGGCCCTTCGTCTGCCTCCAGAGGCAGGGCAGCAGCTCCTTTTCGTCATAATGTGCACGAAGGCTGTGGGGAAGTGCCTGGCTCTTCAAGTCTTCAGGCACACCTGCTTGCGGAGAAGTTGGGTCCTCTGCTCAAGGCAGCCGCCTCAGCAGGCAAAACCCTGTGAAAGGACCCCTCCCTATTACAAGCACACACCTACAAGCCACGGGTTTAGGGAAGCGGACATCGGCCGGCTTCTCTTCGGACGAGGTGCGGGGTTCCCCCCCTGCCGACCTACCTCAGCAGACCCTCTTTACACGTGAAAGCAAGCGCTTCGCCAGCACGGCTCCTAATAAACTCTAGACGAAGTCGTGAGTTGTTGCTCAAGCTGGGCGAGATGACCGTGCTGTGGACATGTCAACGTAATGATCTTGAGCTGACTCGCGAGTGGAATAGTGAGCCTTGCTGTGCGAGCGAGGTCGCGCTGACCACTTGCTATGCCGCTTGCTGGCGTCCCTTTCGGAAGGCATCCCCGAATCTCTATCCTCCTCGCCTGTTTCACTATACAAGTAGTTCATCATCATCATCGGCACAGTCCGAAAGCGAAATTCCCCGAACGTGGACACCACTGGCCCTCAGAGAGGGAAAGACGACCTTTGGATCGGACCCCGGCTCTCAGAGTCACGAAGGATGCTTTCGAAGTACGGGTGCATCTCTGTGTGGGAGATCGAGAGAAGGCGACAAAAAGTCGCATAATGTCTTCATATTCATAGCTGGACCCATTCGATGCACGGCCGGATTGTAACTTGTCAGCATCTTCTCTTGACTGTCACACTTGTCCTGTGCGGCTCCTGGGTGCCCTGTCGAAGTGAGACGATTTGGAAAGCTGCACCCAATGATGCTGCGTAGAATGCACGACAAAGCGACACCGAGACCGATCTGGTCGGGATCCAAGCCATGGGGCCCATTTTATATATATATATATATA